GGGCCTGACCCTGTGTCCCCGCAGCTGGCCGACGGCGAGTTCTCCCCCGTCTTTCGCCTCCTGACCATCTTCGCATACGGCACCTACGCGGACTACCTGGGTGAGGCTGAGTCCCGGGGGGAGACACAGCGGGGTTCAGGGGCTCTCTCCCCTCCCTGGGTGCAGCGTGTGTGCCATAGACCCAAGTTGGTGGGCACCCTTGCCCCAGCTGCACCCCTCTGCAGCAAGAGTCGTGCCTCTGTCGCTATGGCCCGACGGATGCCTGCTTGCAGTTCAGGCCTGAGACCCCTGGAGTACCTGGCAGTAATTAATGCTGCCATTTGCCAGCTGCGCTGGGAATTTCCAAGATCGTTTTGACAGAGACATTTTTGAGGGGCGAGGGGAAAGACTTAGGTATCTGCTGCGATGCGCAGACCTCCATCAATAAGGCACGAGACAGCTAGAGAGGATGACTTGAGTATGAGGGGAGGAAAGGCTGCTCAGAAAAGGTTTTCTGAGCTGAGAATTAATGGAGATGGCTTGGCAAGACGAAGCATCACTTGGGGGATTAGTATGCAGAAACCTCAAGAAATGAGCGTGGTGCAGATCCTTCTGTGCAGGGCTGGGAAATGGAAAACAAGGCATAAATTCTTATATCCTGTTCTTTCCCCTGACGATAGCTGAAGCAGCAAACCTTCCTCCCTTGACAGAAGCTCAGAAGAACAAGCTGAGACACCTGTCAGTCGTCACTCTGGCTGCCAAGATCAAGGTAATGGCCCTATTTTTCCCCTCCGAGTTCTTCCACTGGGATTACCTCATGCTGGTTACCACCGTGTTTCCACAGTGCATCCCCTATTCGGTGCTGCTGGAGCAGTTACAGCTGAAGAACGTCCGGCAACTGGAGGACCTGGTGATTGAGGCTGTGTATGCAGATGTGCTGCGAGGTAGCTTGGATCAGCGGAACCAGCGCCTGGAGGTGGATTACAGCATTGGGAGGGACATCCGGAGGGAGGAGCTAAGCACCATCACCCGCACATTGCAGGAGTGGTGAGGAGGAAGCCCCCAGTACTAACAACCAAAAAAAAAAAAAAAGGCAGGAGTGGCCATCCCCGGATCCTCTCTGTGTGGCTGAGGGCAAGTGTTGTGAGGTGGCCTACTTAGTCCCATTTCCCATACTTCAAGGGAAAGTAATTTTTCAAAAATAATTTACCAAATTCCCCTGTTTGTTGCTGGAGGGGTGATGAGACTGCAGCAGCAGTCCTGGCTGCTGGCAGGAGGCTGTCTGAGTATCTGTAATTCCTAACCTAGAGTCCCTTTGTTATTTGTCTCCCTCCCAGGTAGTAATGTCACTATGTTTTTACATTGGACTTCTGCTTCTATGTCTTCCCTGCCTGGTGCGGCTGTCACCTTCTGGTCTTTTCAGCCTCTAGAGTTGGAATCACACGGGGTTTTTTCTATGCTAAGTAAATTACTTGGCCTGTTCAGTTCTCTGTCTTCTCTCCAGGTGCCAGGGCTGCGAGGTTGTCCTGTCAGGCATTGAAGAGCAGGTTAGCCGGGCCAACCAGCACAAAGAGCAACAGCTGGCACTTAAGCAGCAGATAGAGAGCGAGGTGAGTGGGCTGAGGAGGGCACAGCCAGTGCCCCTCACTTCAAAAATGTCTAGAACCAGTACCCTGTGGTTGTTACGGTCTTTGCTCAGGTAAGGTATTGCCTTTTCCCTAGCTGAGACCCCCCAGGGGACTGTGCCTGAGGAAGAGTCCTAAACCAGCTTAACACTCCTCTGCAGTGCAGAGATCTAGGCAGCTGTTGGCTCGTTATTTTTTTTGGGACCTGAGCTTGCAGCTCTTCGCTTCAGGGCTTGCTTTAAAAAGAAGCAATCCAAAACAAACTAAAAAACTTGTGAAATTCCTTGGTTCTTGCTTTTCTGCTGCTGCAGGTGGCAAACCTGAAGAAGACCATTAAAGTGACGACAGCGGCTGGGAAAAACCCAAGACCCAGAGCAGCACCTAACAGAGCTCAGGGAGCCGGCCCCTGGCACCAACCAGCGCCAGGCGAGCAAGAAAACTTCCAAAACCAAAGGGTGAGGAGTGGGGGCAAACAGCCACAGCTGCTCTGTGTGTGTTGAGGGGGTGAACCACGGGGAGCCCCGTTCCAGAGCAGCGAGGGTGCTGACTGGAGGGGCTGCTCCCTGGACAGGGCATGTGCGGAGATGCAGTCCCAGCTGAGCTCATCTGCTAAATTTGGGGGGAAATCTCTGCGGCTCTTGCTCTGAAGCAGAGTTCGTGAGCCTGCCTTGTGTTCTGGCGTGAAGA